CCCATCCACTGGTCCATCTTGCAATGTCACCACACTGAAAACATGCTAAAACAATCATCAAAAGACACATCACTGCTGAGGGATCACACACACTCTACAAGTTTACTGGTTTCATCTTGGCCCCTCTTGAATCGAGTATAGATCCTCTGCTTTCAGTAGTACGAACCCATACTACCTTCCAAATCTATGCGTACTTTCTTCAAGAGTTACCTTGACTCCACCGAGTCCCTTACTACTACAACTGCTCCCAACACTGAACTCATCCTAGGCCTACCCTAGGGAAATCTCTAACCCAAACCAGTCCTCAGCTGCTGAAGGTCTCTTCGTAATTCCAATTAACCATCACCCGAATACCATCACATGTAATGAGGCTCGGATAATCCTTCGAGTAAAGGACTCATCCCTACAACGGTTTGTACTCAGACAAGAGCTGCGCAATAGGGTGAAATCCAACACTTTAAGATTATTTAACCCTGATTGCATGTGACTTAACCTATTCACCTAATAGCTAATTCCCATCACTCAGAGTCCCACAAAGCATAAAGCAAGCAATATTAAGACAAAAGGAAAATCTAACCATATCATAAACAAGCAATCATATTCACATATCAGGAATCTGCACTAGCATGCGATTGAAGCTCATATAAACAGGCATAATCTAAACAGGCTATCCTACCACTATCTAACCAATACTAGTATATAGCTCAATAAGCACATATAACATGCACATAAGGCATCCTCCTAGATCCTTAGCCCTAAATCTAGCATGCTGGTCACATAATCATAACATAAGATAAACTTGTACGGGTAATTTGGGAGAACTTACTTGAGCTCGATTGATTGCATACACCACACCCTTTTTCTATTTTCAAAGTTCTTACTTCCTTTTTGAAATCCTTTTTTCCTTTGTCGAAGTTCTTTTTATAAAAACGATTTTCATTTGAAAAGAATTTCCTTATCCAAACCTCAATTTGAGATTATTCACACCCGAGAGTGTGCCCCAATCCCTCAAACCAAGGCTCTAATACCAACTTGTAACATCCCCAAAAACACGACCCAAAAAGTTCATTTTAATTTAATAATAAAACCACAAGTGCCAACAATTCATTCAAAACATATCACATCAGAGTATCATGTCTAAACATTATTTTATTTTATCAGAGTAAACATCCCAGGCTAAATAAACAATGGTGTATGCCATGCGATCACCCCGAGCTCTTCCCTTCGCTACCGGAAGTACCTGAAACCAAAACTGAAAACCGTAAGCACGAAGCCTAGTGAGTTCCCCAACCTACCACACACTATTCATAATCAAATACTGCAAGCACTCGGCCTCACCTACTACTTAAGGGGCCTCGCCTGCTACATCGGACCCCGCCCAACCCCAGGCCCCGCCTGGCTTCGATCCCTTCTCGGTTATACATATCTGTTTCTCTTAGGCCCCGCCTGTATCTAAGACCCGTTACACGTACAGACATATAACATAACACATAACAAGTAGCTAACATACTCTACTGTACTCTTGATCTATGGCCTCGCCTACCTATGGGCTCGCCCTGGTCCTGCTATTGACGAGTCATGGAATCCTGGCCATGCTCCTGCTGATAATGAGATACGGGGCCCCGCCCACACTCACCTCTCTCCTATCTTAGGCCTCGCCCCTGCTCTGCTACTAATGATATACCGAACCCCATCCGTACTCTGCTAGTGGTGAGATAGGAGACCTCACCCACGCTCACCTCCTTACCTGCACATACGAGTATCACACAGACAACAAGTATAAACTAACGTAAAAACGTTCTCCGGGCACCCGCCCGATATCGGACCTTGGTCCGGAATACCATATTAGCATACAGTGCCTAGGGATAAACCCTAGATCTTCCTACTCATAAACTACATAGGCCGACATTGTGGCCTTAAACCCATTCACACAATGAGGAGACTCACCTCGAACTGCAGAAGATTAGCTGAACACTTCTGACTGCTAACCGAAAATTCTAAACTGCTGATCCTTCAGCTTCCCGAACTATCAATACCCAAACAACCTTTATACCATAATAATCAAAAAGTCAACCCTGGTCAAACTTGGTCAAAGTCAACCCTGGTCAAACTTGGTCAAAGTCAACGGTCAAAGTCAACCTCCAGTGACTTGACTCGCCAAGTTGTTCTACCAACTGATCGAGTCCATACCCCTACAACCCAATACATCCCTCAACTCAACTCATCGAGTCTAGCAAGAACTCAACGGGTCCTCCTTCAACCATACAACCAGGACCATCTTTATCCGACTTGTTGAGTTCGACCTTGAACTCGCCGAGTTCGTCATCCACATAAGAATGTCTAGGCTGTGACTCCCCGAGTTGTGTGAACCACTCATCGAGTCTGTCTTCATAAACTAA